CATGGGAGACGCAATTCCAGCCCGCCGAGTGCGGTTCTTCAAAGGGGAATTGCGTTCCCCATAATTCGGAGTGATGTGAAACGCAATTCCATTCCATCGAGTGCGGCTTTCATGGGAGATTGCGTATCCCATAATTCGAGTTCATAACTCGAATTGCAAATTTCAGGAAACGCAGTTTCCCAGAATTCGAATTCCGTGTTATGTGAAGCGCAATTCCAGCCCATTGAGTACGGTTGTTCAGAAGAAATTGCGTTTCCCACAATTCAGAACTATGGGAAGCCCAACTCCGCCCATCGAGTGCGGTTGTTCAGAGGGAAATTGCGTTTCCCATAATTCGAAATTGGAATTCTGAGATATCGCGCTTCCTGAAATTCGGATTCCGAATTATGGGAAACGCAATTCCAGCCCACCGAGTGCGGTTTTTCAAAGGAAATTGCGCACCCCATAATTCGGAACGATGGGAAACGCTATTCCAGCCCATTGAGTGCGGTTGTGCAAAAGGAAATCGCGTTTTCCATAATTCTGAAATTAAAATTATGGGAAACCGCGTTTCCCGAAATTCTGATTTCGAATTACGGGACACGCAATTCCAGTCAGCGAGTCTGGCTTTTCAAGGGAATTTGCGTTTCCCATAATTCGGAGTAATGGGAAACGCAATTCCGGCCCATCGAGTGCGGTTTTTCAAGGGAAATTGCAATTCCCATAATTCGAATTCCAAATTCGGGGAAACGCAGTTTCCCAGAATTCGAATTCCGTGTTATGGGAAACGCAATTCCAGCCCATTGAGTACGGTTTTGTCAAGGGAAATTGCGTGTCCCATACTTCGGAATTATGGGAAACGCAAGCCCGGCCCATCGAGTGCGGTTTTTCAAAGGGAAATTGCGTTTCCCATAATTCGAAATTCGAATTCTGGGAAGCCGCGTTTCCCGGAAAGTTGATTTCGAATTATGGGAAACGCAATTCCAGCCTTTTTCAAGGGAACTTGCGTTTCCCATAATTCGGAATTATGGGAAGCGCAATTCCGGCCCACTGGGTGCGGCTTTTCAAGGGAACTTGCGTTTCCCACAAGTCGGAATTTGGATTCTGCTGTGCAAAAGATGCGGTGCAAGTGATGTGGTACGCTTTTGTTTGTGCCATCTATGTGGTACAGTCCAGGTGGTGCAATCTTTCGTGGTGCCACTTACGTGGTGCACCTTCTATGCTGCAACATACGCGGTGCGATCTACAGTGTGCAAGATAGTCGGGGCGGCGACGGCGACGACGGGGCGGCGACGGCGAGCGCGGAGCCCCCAGACCGCCACCCAGGTCTAGACGACGACGAGGCCGCGACGAGGCTGCACTGGAGCGGCGACGGCGGGCACGGAGCCGCCAGACCGCCACCCAGGCCCAGACGGCGGGCGGCGACGAGGCGGCGGCGGGGCGACGACGGCGAGCACGGAGCGGCCAGATGGGCACCCCAAGCCCAGCTCTTGAAAAAAAGAGGTCGGAACCCCTAAGTGCAAGCTCTGTTTGGGGAATACATATATATATATATATAAATATGTATATATGTATATATGATATATGATATATATGATATATATATAAATATATATACACACATAAAGAGAGATGGGGGAAAGAGAGAGAGAGAGAGATCATTAAAAACAGAAAAAGGAGAGAGGAGGAAGGGAGGGAGGGAGGGAGGGGAGAAACACGAGAAGGCCTGAGTGATGCGAGGTAAAAGCGTGGAGGAAAAAGGGTAGGGGGATGTCCCACGTCCCCAGGATTCGAATTCAGTTCGCCAGGGTTCGTTTCGCCAGTGATCGTTCCGCTGGGGCTCGTTTTGCTGGCGTCCGTCTCGTGAGGTTCTCGCTTCGGCGGGTTCATCCTTGCTCGGGCTGGTTTCGCCCAGGGCTTCGTTTCGCTTGAACTTGTTCTGCTGGGGCCTACTTCGCTGTTTGGCTGGGCTCCCTTTTCGCTAAGCTTCAACGAAGGCTGGCGGGAGGGACCCTGGGGCGGGCGGGGTGCACCGGCACGCCCGCCACCTGCGCGGGGTCGAAGGAGGCTGGAAGTTGGATGAGAATGGAGTTGGTGGAGGAGGGGGCAGGATGGTGGACGGAGGATGGAGGGGCAGGAAGAACTCAGGGAGGATAAGTAGCAGGAGGAGGATGATGAGCAGGAGGAGCAGGAGAGGGATGGCGGAGCCGCGACGCGTCACTCGTCCGGGCCTGAGCCCGTGCTGATGATTTCGCACGTCAGGATTCGAAGCGACTTGCGCGTGTTTGCTGGTTGAGCGTAGCGATGCCTCAGCCGACCAGCGGCGGATTGAGGATAATTGTGCGCCAGCATTTCTGGTGACTGCATGTAACGCGCGCGAGTCTCAACGCACAGGCTCGCGAGCGGATTATATGTTTTAGATTTTCTAGCGTCCTCTCAGAAGCATCTGCCTCGGGGAAACTTGTGGCGTCACCTCGTCGTCGTGCCTCTCCTTCTCCAAGTCGGCGTCGCTTCAACAACA